CAGAGTCTGTGTGTGTGTGTGTGTGTGTATGGACTCAGCAGAGTCTGTGTGTGTATGGACTCAGCAGAGTCTGTGTGTGTGTGTATGGACTCAGCAGAGTCTGTGTGTGTATGGACTCAGCAGAGTCTGTGTGTGTGTGTGTGTGTATGGACTCAGCAATCTGTGTGTGTGTGTATGGACTCAGCAATCTGTGTGTGTGTGTGTATGGACTCAGCAGTCTATCAATAATTAAAATTCCATTGCTTTGCCCAGGGGCCCTTAACTCTGTTAAAATGGTACTGCTTGTGTGTGTCAGTGAGCTTCTATTTAGTGAGCATGTGTGTGTCAGTGAGCTTGTCTTTTTAGTGAGCTTGTGTGTGTGTCCCTGAACTTCTTTGTAGTGAGCCTTCTGTTTATACAAGTGAGTGTCTGTAGTAAGCTTGTGTGTGAGTCAGAGAGTTTTGTCTGTCAGTAAGCCTATTTGCGCATGTCAGTGAGCTTGTGTGCTTACTGTAATATATATATATATATATATATATATATATATATATATATATTACATATTTTGACTTGTAGGAATGGCATACTTTTTTTTTTCCAGGGCTGCTTTGGATTCCCAGGGATTCCTAGTTTGGCTCTGCCAGCGAGTGCACTTTACCGCTGAATAATCTGTGTGAGCTGCCGCACACTTTAGCCCTGTTACACGCGTCTGGGAGCTGCTGTTGACAGGTACTAGTAGTCTAGAGATTGGGGTATATGCTCAGCTATCTGTATAATACAGATCTGTGTGTATAAAATATCCCGGGATAGTCAGTGCTTCCTGTATAGTGCTGCTCTTTGTCTTGGGATTATACAGAGAGCAGCACTATACAGGGAGCACTGAGTGTCCCAATTTATTATACACACAACCCTGTATTATACAGAGAGCACTGACTGTCCAGGGCTATTATACCCAGACAGTAATTGATAGCTGTGCTGCAAAATGTCCTTGGAATTTTTTTTTCAAATGTTGGCAACTATGGCACTGTATCAAGGATAATGTGTTTGTTTTTTTAATAATCCCTGGTGGAAAATAATGAATCCTCCACCAGGTATTATTTAAAAAAAAAAAACACATTGTGTCGGGGCGTGGCTTAACATGCGACAGGGATACAATAACCAAGCGACGAGGGCAGGTTAAATGTGCCCCCATTTTATCACTGGCTCCTCCATGTGCCCCCGAAAAAATGAATCCTAGAGACGCCACTGAGGAGGGGGGATGATGGATGGGGAGATGATTGAGGGGAGGGAGATGATTTGATAAGAGAGAGGAGGGAGATGATTGATGGGGGAGGGAGGGGGGGGAGATTGATGGGGAGGGGGAGATGATTGATGGATGGAGGGAGGGGGGGGAGATTGATGGAGGGAGGAGGGGGGATGATGGATGGGGAGGATGATTGAGGGGAGGGAGATTTGATAAGAGAGAGGGAGGGGGGAGATGATTGATGGGAGGGAAGGAGGGGGGGAGATGATTGATGGGAGGGAAGTGGGGGGGAGATGATTGATGGGAGGGGGGAGAAGATTGGGGGGGAGAAGAAGAGAAGATTATGGGGGGAGAAGAAGAGAAGATTACGGGGGGAGAAGCAGCGATTACAGGGAGGGAAGGGGGGAGAAGAAGAGAAGATTACAGGGAGGAGAAGAAGAGGAGAACACAGGGAGGGGGGAATAAGAGGAAAACACAGGGAGGGGGGGAATAAGAGGAGAACACAAGGGGTGGGAGATGAGAATGTAGGGGAGGGAGAGACCACTAAAGGAGGGAGGGGGCGGTGGAGAGACCACTAGGGGAGGGGTGTGAGGAGAGACCGCTAAGGGAGGGGGGTGGAGGATAGATCACTAGGGAAGGGTGGGGGGAGAGGAGAGACCACTAATGGAAAGTCGGGGAGAAAAGGAGACCACTAAGGGAGGTGGGGGGGGAAAGGAGAGACCACTAAGGGGCAGGGGAGATCTCTAAGGAATGGAAGGGAGAGCTCTATAGGACAGGGGGACAGGGAGCTCTTTCACACCACGCGCGCGCACACACACACACACACAACGCATCCCTATACACACAGAAACACAACATGCTTCCCTTACACACAGAAAAACACACAATGCAACCCTTACACATAAAGACAATGCATCATTTGCACATATACACAGAAACACACAATGCATTCCTTACACACAAATGCAAACACACACTGCTTCTCTTACACACACAGAAACACAATTCATCTCTTACACACACTCAACGCACCCCTTACAGACACACACTGCTTCCACTACACACAAACACACTGCATCACCTACACAAACTGGTATCCCTATACACTACATTACGTAAGCACACACATTAGATCCTCTACAGTAACACATAACACATCCCCTACACACTCCACTCCCTGTGAGCGAACTCATGGGTGGAACATGTAGGTGGACTTATGGGTGGGCTTTATGGGCATACTCACCGTCAGGCCCTGGGGCCCAGACCTTGAGCTGTGTAAGAGGCCCCAAAAAATGGAGCTGCTTCCCGTTCTCCCAGAACATTGAATTTTGTGACCACAGTTACAAACAGCCTCCAGAGATCCTGTTCTACACCAGACCAGTGGAGCCAGAGCCCATCACCATCCTCATCTGGTTGTAAGTAGGCAATCTAGTATATTATTAGTGACACTAATCTCTAATTTACCTCACATTAAATGGACACTATAGTCCCCAGAACCACTGCAGCTTAATAAAGTTGTTCTGGTGTCTATAGTTTGTCCCTGCAGGCTTTTTAATGTAAACACACACTGTGTGCAGCACTGGCATTAGTTCTATGGGTGGGGCATTGCGATGTTCCGGGGGGGGGCGGCAAATCCTTCTTATGCCTAGGGCGGCAAAAATCCTTGCACCGGCCCTGCCTCCATGTGGGTTAGCCACCAGTTCAGTTCCTCCCTGGATTCCGTGTCCAGGGTAACGTGAGATTCGTACGAGTGGCCACTTCGTAGGCAGGTCCCTTTCAGGCGCTGTAATGCTCGGTAGTGGAGCGGGCCTGGGAAAATCTCTTGGATAGAGGCTGCCAACAGGCCAATGACCTGTGCCAGTTGGCGTAGGGATATGTCTGGTCGGTGCATAAGTTTCCTTATTTCCTTTTTGATGTTGGCCATCTTTTCCGCCGGGAGGCAAAGGATTTGTAGGACAGAGTCGATTCGGAATCCAAGGAATTCCATTTGTTGTGAGGGGGTTAGAACCGATTTCTTCCAGTTTACAAGGAAGCCCAGGTTCTGTATGAGGTGCAGGGTCCACCTTAAGTGCTCTAGCAGTAGAGACCGTGTCCCGGAGAGTATGAGAATGTCATCCAGGTAGATGATGAGGTGGACTCCGTGTAATCTGAGGAAGGCCACCACTGGTTTGAGTATCTTCATGAAACACCAGGGGGCGGAGGACAGACCGAAAGGGAGGCATGTGAACCGCCACTTCTTGTCTCCCCAGCAGAACTGGAGTAGGTCCCTGTGTATTTCCGCTATCAGGACCGTCAGATATGCATCTTGCAAGTCTAGTTTGACCATCCAGTCTCCGGGCAGGAGCAGGTCTCTGAGGCAATGAATGCCTTCCATTTTGAAGTGCCAGTATTGGACGAAGGCATTTAGGGGTCGCAGGTTTATAACCGGGCGGACCCCGCCTCCCTTTTTTGGCACTAAAAACAGGTTGCTCACGAAACCTGGGGTGTCTAGAGGGATCTCCTCTATGGCCTTCTGTGCCTGTAATTCTCTGATCTCCGCAGAGATGAGGTCGAGGTGTGAAGTAGGCATGTGAATTGCCCTTGGGGGAGTGTCTTGAACGGGGAGAGCAGTCAGTTCTAGGTGGTAACCCTCTACCGTCTGTAACACCCAACTGTCGGACGTGATCAAAGTCCAAGCCTGATAGAACCTGGCCAGTCTGCCCCCCACATATATATGGACATATATATGGACACTTAAAATGGACTTAAAATAATCAAAAGGAAAAAACAAAATTAAGTAATGTGCTCCAATTCCTCATTTAACCCATACGGGTTAAGAGTATTCAGTCGGAAAATCCACCTGGTCTCAGCTACAATAAGAGCTGCTTTTCTATTGACCATCTTCTCCGGGATATGTTCAATACCCATAACAGATATATATAAAGGATTACTCTCATGGACCATCTGGAAGTGTCTAGCGGATGCTTCCAATTTGGCTATTTTGTCCTTAAATTGAAATTTACTTTAAAGCCATACTGTAGTGAATAACCCAGAAAATGTTCATCAAATTTGTGCCTTGGTTTTAACAACATAAAATTAATCATTTAACTCCCTAATATTAATGTCCAATGGACTACAACAAGGGAGACATAGATCAACAGCCGGCACAGCTTAACCCTTTAATGCCGTGCATTAGTTTACTCCACAACAATTCACTATTTCTACTCCAGCCCTGAAAGGGTTTAAAGGAATATTTGCAACACCTTAACCAGTCTGCTCCAGTAGTTATGGTACTAGGAGTGCCCTCGCACCCCCAGTGTAAGTAGTCAAAGAAGTAGCTTCCATTAACTCCACTTTTTTAAGCTCGCTGGCTGAGGGAGTAGGCTGAGCTCTCTCAACCAATGAGCTGAGGCCTGGACCACTGATTTCACTCAATGCAGGAGATTCTGGGCCACAAGTGGATGTTCTCTGTCACAAAAAGTTTGACTACTTATCCTGTGAGGGCAGTAGGGCACTCCAGGTACTATAACCACTGCAGACTGCTGGTGCTTGGAGGATTCCTTTAAGGGATTGTGTACTATACAGCTACAGAGAAACCAAGGGATGAGGCCTTAGGAAGGTGTTTGTGAGATATAGTATGGACTGAATCTATAGTTATATTTGAAACCCATCAATGGCCACAGAAGTAAAACACTCCAAAGAACAAACCGACATCAGTATAACAGGATTAATTTAAAAAATATATACTTTATTGTTTTAATAAAATTAACAATATACAAAATATGTGTGTAGGAAAACAATAGTGGTTCTGATAAGTGTGAAGGCCAGTGAACCATGCATGTTGTTAATGTGAGTTTCACTGTGTATTTTATTTGGCAATGATGAAACTACCAAGTGTAATTCTAAATCATGTTTTTATGCCACCGTTAATGTGTTTGTTTCATAACATGGGATTGCCTTTGTATCTGAATAAATATTTTGTTTGCTCAAGTGTTAGAGCTGCCGATAGGCAGTGTATGACTGTTTGTGTTTGACTTTGCATGATTGTCTGAATTTGTCTTTGATAAATGTTTGTGCTTGTGTATATGTGTTTCTTTGTGCATAAAAGTTGGTGTTGCTGCCTGAATGATTTTGAATGTATTTATGTGAAGGAATCTGCAGCCTTGTCCCTGTTCATACGTTGTGTTTATCCATGTGTCCTTGCAATGAGTAGCCTTTTTGTTTGTTTCACTGCTCTTTTCGTCTAGATTCCAGTTCTACCTCTTTATGAATTTGCTCTATTGTTTTCGGTCCCTGGGATTTATGTCGAGGTACCCAGTTATTTTTTCTTAATTCCATCATATCCTGCACCAAAAACCGAATCCGCGAAGAGGTTTTCTGGTTTTTAATAAAGATGTCAATCTTGCTGATATAGTTGTCCAAGCGACACTGTCCATTTTCCAAGGATTTTCCAGTTGTAGTGAGCAAAATGCAGATACATTCCAATGACTCCTCGCTGTTCCTGTTTAGTAGTTTCATTAGGCAGTCTTTCATGGTGTCCTCTGAGAGTAATTTTAATTTAAATAGCTCCCCAATAAATTTGATGTTTCCTTGGTATCGCCTGCGTGCTTTATTACAAGCATCACTTAATTCTTCTTTTAGTAGGGCCTTTTCTCTCGGTGACGTGGCAGCATCCAGTTCCTTTTGCAGTTTCTCAGTTCTTTCATTCCCATTTTCAACTCTCTCAAACTCCTTCTGGCAGAGTCTTATTAGCAGCCTACGGAATGTAATGCTTTCTTCAGGGTTGTCTTCCGTTGGGACCTCAAGCATCATTAGCCAGTTGCACATGCTGGCGTATACAACAGCAAAATGTGGCTCTGCTACTGCTTTTTCAAATATGACTTCTACAACACCTTTCAGTTGATATTCTGTATGTATAGAGAGGTCTTTCACCTGCTTGGTTAAGTGCTGGAATGTCTGAGGTGTGATTTTATTAAGAATGCTGCGAACTTTGCGAACCAATTCTTGAGCCTTGGCAAGAGTGTGATCTTCATTTGCTCTTTTCATGGGAGGTTTCCAAGCCTTTTCAGATGTATGCGGTTTTACATTCTCACTTACTTGAAGGATTTTGCGAAGTTCTGTACCAGGAGCTTGCGGAGACCTCATTTGGCCCATTCCACATGGCAGTCTGTAATTATCCTTAGCAGGGTGGATGAAATTTGCAGTTAGAGGTGTACATTTCCTGTTGGTAAATCGTGATGGATCTACTGGTCGAAGGTGAGGTCTAATGAGCATACCTTGGTAGAGTTTTGCAATCTCAGACAAATCCCTTGGCTCTTGTGTTATAGATTTGAATTTAAGTAAAGATTCCCTGTCGTAGTGTATCCTTTCCACCTTTGATTCAATATTTTTCTTCTCTTGGAGTACAGGTACTGGAAGGTCTTGACTTTTCTTTTCAACTATATCAGCCTCACCAGGTGGCTCTTTTTCTTTGTCTTCTGGCAATGGCTGCTCTTCATGGTCACTTCTCAGACACACATGTTTTCCTGGCTGATTATTCTTCATCTCACTTTGTTCCTGCTCAAGCGTAACCTTTTGATTGAATAGAAGCAACTCCTCTGGCTGAACAGTGGGGCAATCCAAAGTAGTTTTGGAGTGATAACTCACAATGTCAGAGCTTACTGGTAGCTCCTCTAACATTTCACCAGTGCTTGATTTGGCAGGACAAACTGGGCCCACTAGAAGAATACCTGGATCTTGATCTTTGACAGCCTCCCGAGAATGTAGATTCATAGGCTCAGGTTGACAATCCAAAGTGGATTGTGGCTGACCAAGGTTTACTGGCAGCTCCTCTGACATTTCACTAGTGCCTGATTTGGCATGACAAACTGGGCCCACTAACAGAATACCTGGATCTTGATCTTTGACAGCCTCCCGGGAATCTTGGTTCATAGGCTCAGGTTGACAATCCGAAGTGGACTGTTGCTGACCAAGGTTTACTGGCAACTCCTCTATCAATCCACTTGTATGAGGTCCGATAGTAGTAACAGGGCATTCTAGAGAAGTGTTGTCTTCTAGATGTGTGATAACCTCTGTAGGCTCTAGAGAGGTAGGCTGTAGTAAAATAGCTGTAACTGGGTTCTGAGAATCTAGATTTGTAGGCTCACATGGACAACCTAAAGTGGACTGTGGCTGACCAAGGTTTACTGGCAACTCCTCTGTTAATCCACTTGTATGAGGTTCGATAGTAGTAACAGGACATTCTAGAGAAGTGTTGTCTTCTAGATGTGTGATAACCTCTGTAGGCTCTAGAAAGCTGGACTGTAGTAAAATAACTGTAACTGGGTTCTGAGAATCTAGATTTGCAGACTCAGGTGGACAATGTAAAGTGGACTGTGGCTGACCAAGGTTTACTGGCAACTCCTCTGTCAATCCACTTGAATGAGGTTCAATAGTAGAAACAGGGCATTCTAGAGAAGTGTTGTCTTCTAGATGTGTGATAACCTCTGTAGGCTCTAGAGACCTTGCCTGCAGCAAGTGACAGGGAATATCCTCTACACTTGTGACCGCTTCAGGCTGTGGAATAATATTGTGTTTACAATACTCTGCAGAATACTTTTTTTCATTTTCCAGTTCTTTTTTGTCTACTTCTTTTTCTTGGACATTTGTAGCCTTTTTAGTTGTTTTATATTGTTTTGGACGTAATGTAGGCTTTACCTTAGAGAATAGGAATTGGTCTCTGCAATTAAAAAATAGGAAAAGTTAAAATACAGTTGTAACAATTATATCCTTTTCTCCCTTTCCATCCATCAGCCCATTTTGTCACTTATCTTATTCCTCTTCAGCTTTCCTCTTACTTTCAGTCCATCAGCTACCCCATCACTCGTTATCTATCAGTCATTATTGCACAGCTTATAGTGACCCTATCAGATCATTTATGTTACGCACATTACATTCTGGTTACAGTAATTCCAGTAAATAGTTTACTTTGTACCATTAAAGCTTCTGTTTATATTAAAATACATATCTTATAGAAATTAGGTAATGCCTGGTAAGTCACTTTCTGTAGTACTCCTCAGTGATTTGTGATCACTGTATCTGTGGTTCTTCTCTCATTGGTTTCCTGTGTACACAGCCAGCCAGTAAGAGAACCAGGGTATTGGTTTACTGAGGACACTGAAGGTTTATTTGGATAACCTTATAGGATTATGGTCGGTCATTCTGTGTCTCATGATACACTTACCTAGGTGGCCGAGCATATGTCATTAGTTGGTTAGTTTCTCGTGGAGTCACCCGAATATAGTATGGTACATCGGGAATCTTCTCCTCTTTGCCAAATCTGACATAGTTATTATAATGTCTAAAGGGTTTGAAGAAAAACACACCAGAAAACAAAAAGGTCATTAATAAATTGATGTTATATCTCTGGAATAACAGAGTGTGTTTAGGAGATGATACAAGAAGCCATTAGATATTATGCATTGCTATTTGGGTTGTATTGTAATGATTAAATAATTCAATTTGAGATTTGTGATGTTGGCTTAGAAAGAACATTGACAGCTTTCTCTATCTGTGGTTCGTCTCTCATTGGTTTCCTGTGTACACAGACAGCCAGTGAGAGAACCAGGGTATTGGTTTACTGAGGACACTGAAGGTTTATTTGGATAACCTTATAGGATTATGGTCAGTCATTCTGTGTCTCATGATACACTTACCTAGGTGGCCGAGCACATGTCATTAGTTGGTTAGTTTCTCGTGGAGTCACCCGAATATAGTATGGTACATCGGGAATCTTCTCCTCTTTGCCAAATCTGACATAGTTATTATAATGTCTAAAGGGTTTGAAGAAAAACACACCAGAAAACAAAAAGGTCATTAATAAATTGATGTTATATCTCTGGAATAACAGAGTGTGTTTAGGAGATGATACAAGAAGCCATGAGATATTATGCATTGCTATTTGGGTTGTATTGTAATGATTAAATTTTCCAATTTGAGATTTGCGATGTTGGCTCACAAAGAACATTGACATCTTTCTCTATCTGTGTTTCTTCTCTCATTGGTTTCCTGTGTACACAGACAACCAGTGAGAGAACCCGGGTATTGGTTTACTGAGGACACTGAAGGTTTATTTGGATAACCTTATAAGATTATGTGGTGTTGCAATATCCCAGTGAGTGAAACCAAAATGCCAAAAATACTCTAAATACCTTATGTGGGTATTCCCTCTATTCCCACAAAAACCCAAAGATATACATACAATATAAGGTGGAGTATATAAATAGGAGTTCTTCCAAATACAATTTTCAACAGGATAATGTCCTTTAGTAGTTCCCTAGGTTTGAACACAAATAGGGAAAAAGGAATAGTGCAATATTGCCAATACTCAATATATTATTGTAGTATATAGATAGTGAAGCACTCACAAACATAGAGCCTCTGGATAGGCTCAAAAATTGAAGCACTGTGGGTACTTAAGGGGCCCACTCCCTTCTTGTTATAATCTGGGATATCTCAATAACAGGATCTCTTCTCAAAACAATAAAGTGCTTTATTCAATAAAGTGCACAAATTTTTTTAAAAGCTTTAGAAGTGAGTAAAAAAACCTTACAGTCTGAAGGTAGTCCTTATGGTTGTTTGCAAAACGCGTTTCGCCTCAATATGAGGCTTCCTCAGTTGCTAATTGTAATCTCCTGGTGGTCCATTTAAATATCCTCCCTTTTGGCTGTTCTTTTCACCCCTTCCGGCTTCCCTAGTGATTAGGGATTCATTTTTACTTCTTCTTCCTGGTTTTTGCGTTCCACCTGTGGAACGCACGTGTCACGTAATGCGTTCCACAACATCAGTATCTTTGATTTCTCTTCCTCTTCCGGTTTGCGGCCTTTGCGTTCCATCCGTGGAACGCAAATGTCACGTGGCGCGCTCCATACATCGCGAACGTCACGTGACTTATTTAGAGACACTTCTTTTCCAAAGTCCGGTATCTTTCATCAGAGTTCAACATCTCAATTAATAAAAATAATTAATCCAGTAAATACACATAAAAAGCCTTTATAATTCAATTACCTCTCATATGAGATGGCTTGTAATGGGGTTTATAATAATAACCTCCTTCCTAAAATACATTTGAGGACTTTATGTAAAAACATATGTAAGGATCTGTTCTCTTCTAATTTTCCCCTTACACTAATAGAGGTGTTTAAAAATATGTATTTCATAAAGGCTTTTTATGTTTTGTATTATATATATAAATACAGACAGATGTTATAAATATATATATAAATTAATTATAAATTTAATAAGAAAGAAGAAAGAGAATTCTATAAATATATGATAAAAGGGCCATTTGTTTAAAATTTAATGTATTATAATAAAATATAATGTAAAATACCGAATAAAAAATAATATGTTAAAGATTGATTTATTAAAAATGACATACTTCAAAATCTGCATTAAGTCCATATGGTATCAGAGTTTTAAATCGAAAAATAAAACTCATTTCTTCTTTCCCTAAAGTTTTAATATAGTTTCCCCCTCTCCAATCTCTTTTTATTTCTTTTATTGCACAAAAGAACAAATTTTCAGGGTTTTGGTCGTGGACCTGTTTAAAGTGTAATGATACATTGTGGGTCTCTAAGCAATTTCGTATATTCTTAATATGTTCCGCTATTCTCACTTTTAAAGGTCTAATTGTTCTGCCAATATACAAGAAAATTGTATTTGGAAGAACTCCTATTTATATACTCCACCTTATATTGTATGTATATCTTATAGGATTATGGTCCGTCATTCTGTGTCTCATGATACACTTACCTAGGTGGCCGAGCACATGTCATTAGTTGGTTAGTTTCTCGTGGAGTCACCCGAATATAGTATGGTACATCGGGAATCTTCTCCTCTTTGCCAAATCTGACAAAGTTATTATAATGTCTAAAGAATTTGAAGAAAAACACACCAGAAAACAAAAAGGTCATTAATAAATTGATGTTATATTTCTGGAATAACAGAGTGTGTTTAGGAGATGATACAAGAAGCCATTAGATATTATGCATTGCTATTTGGGTTGTATTGTAATGATTAAATATTCCAATTTGAGATTTGTGATGTTGGCTCAGAAAGAGCATTGACATCTTTCTCTATCTGTGTTTCTTCTCTCATTGGTTTTCTGTGTACACAGACAGCCAGTGAGAGAACCAAGATATTGGTTTACTGAGGACACTGAAGGTTTATTTGGATAACCTTATAAGATTATGGTCGGTCATTCTGTGTCTCATGATACACTTACCTAGGTGGCCGAGCACATGTCATTAGTTGGTTAGTTTCTCTTGGAGTCACCCGAATATAGTATGGTACATCGGGAATCTTCTCCTCTTTGACAAATCTGACATAGTTATTATAATGTCTAAAGAATTTGAAGAAAAACACACCAGAAAACAAAAAGGTCATTAATAAATTGATGTTATATTTCTGGAATAACAGAGTGTGTTTAAGAGATGATACAAGAAGCCATTAGATATTATGCATTGCTATTTGGGTTGTATTGTAATGATTAAATATTCCAATTTGAGATTTGTGATGTTGGCTCAGAAAGAGCATTGACATCTTTCTCTATCTGTGTTTCTTCTCTCATTGGTTTCCTGTGTACACAGACAGCCAGTGAGAGAACCAAGATATTGGTTTACTGAGGACACTGAAGGTTTATTTGGATAACCTTATAAGATTATGGTCGGTCATTCTGTGTCTCATGATACACTTACCTAGGTGGCCGAGCACATGTCATTAGTTGGTTAGTTTCTCGTGGAGTCACCCGAATATAGTATGGTACATCGGGAATCTTCTCCTTTTTGCCAAATCTGACATAGTTATTATAATGTCTAAAGAATTTGAAAAAAAAACCACCAGAAAACAAAAAGGTCATTAATAAATTGATGTTATATTTCTGGAATAACAGAGTGTGTTTAGGAGATGATACAAGAAGCCATTAGATATTATGCATTGCTATTTGGGTTGTATTGTAATGATTAAATAATTCAATTTGATGTGTAAAACCTTTGATACGTCTGGACTAATTACATCCTGCATTTCATCCCAGGATGGTGCTGTCTATTTGGGGTGTCAAAACACATTTAATTAATAAGGCATTATTGTGTCAGAAACACAAATATGTATTCCTGACACTATAGTTTTAATATCACTATTTAGGGCCTTAGCCCCCCTACAGTAAAGGTTAAATCTCACCTTTTTTCCAACTCAGAATTGATTATCTCAGCCAATCCAATGCTTTACCTTAAGAAAGAATTGGATTGACTGAGTTAGTCAATTTTGATTATCTCAGCCAAGGAGGCATGCTGGGGACGAAGGCAATGCTGCCATGGCCAATCATAAATTGATGCGTCTTGATAAGAATGTTCAGTGTCTCCATGCAGAGAGTGGAGATGCTGAATGTCAGTGCTACACACTCTGCAGCACTGCCACAGGAAGCACCTATAGTGGCTGTCTGAGTGACTGCCACTGGAAGTGACCCTAAGGAGCAATGTAAACACATTTTATACACTAAAAAAACCTGCAGGGACAGACTATAGACACCAGAACCACTACATTAAGCTGTAATTGTTCTGGTGACTAGGGTGTCCCTTTAATTCCAATATATTTTACTTTTTTTTTTTTTTTAACACCCCTGTATATCATGTCTGCTTATTTTATTTTATTTCAAATTCCAGAAATGATGCCCATTAACAAATCATCCTTTATTCTAATCTCTATCGAACTCTGATCCCCATCTTCCAATAACCCCATTTAATATACCTGCAGCAACTGTCCACTTACCTGTCCGCAGAAGGCTGATAAGGAATATCCTCTAGACTTGTGACAGGTGCAGGCTGTAGAATATTATCCTGTTTATGACACTCTGCACAATAATTTACACTTTCAGCCTTTTTAGTTGTTTTGTATTGTTTTGGAAGTAATTTAGGCTTCACCTTAGAGAATAGGAATGGGTCCCTGCAATTAAAATAGGAAACGTTAAAATACAGTTCTAACAATTATATCCTTTTCTCCCTTTCCATCCATCAGCCCATTTTGTCACTTATCTTATTCCTCGTCAGCTTTCCTCTCACTTTCAGTCCATCAGCTACCCTATCACTCGTTATCTATCAGTCATTATTGCACAGCTTATAGTGACACTATCAGATCATTTATGTTACGCACATTACATTCTGGTTTCAGTAATTTCAGTAAATATTCTAATTTGTACCATTAAAGCTTCTGTTTATATTAAAATACATATCTTATAGAAATTAGGTAATTCCTGGTAAGTCAAGTTGCTGTAGTACTCCTCAGAAATTTGTGATGTTGGCTCAGAAAGACCATTGACATCTTTCTCTATCTGTGGATCTTCTCTCATTGGTTTCCTGTGTACACAGACAGCCAGTGAGAGAACCAGGGTATTGGATTACTGAGGACCCTGCAGTTTTATTTGGATAACCTTGTAGGATTATGGTCAGTCATTTTGTGTCTCATGATACACTTACCTAGGTGGTCGAGCATAACGAATTTCCAAGTTGGATTTTTTTGGAGTCACCCGAATATAGTGTGGTACATCAGGTTTCTTCTCCTCTTTTCTATATCTGACATAGGTATCATAATGTCTAAAGCTTTTGAACAAAAACACAAAAACAAAAAAGGTCAGGCTAATTCTTCCAGCACCCAGCCTAGAGGTTATTATCGCAATTTGTTAATGTGATCATATAGTATTTACCTTTTATCAAGCACAGCAAATTTAGATGTAACAGAAGGGGGAAGGCGACGTCTCTCTGTGCCTTGTTGGCAACATTTTAGAATTTCTGCCACAAACCCACCATTCTGCTCCCGTGGCTCCCATCTCTTCCCCTTCTCAGTTTCTGGAGAAATATCCAGATTAGATGATAATTGGGGGAATGTCTGGGGCTCTGACTTAAGAGGTAGCCTGTTTAGGAAAGAGAAAATGATTAGTGAAGTTTCAAATTTCACACATTTGATGTTTTGTGTTTGAAATAACTGAGTGTGTTTAGGAGATGATAAAATAAATCATTATATATTATGCATTGTTATTTGGGTTGTATTATAGTGGTTAAATAATTTGATTTAATGTGTAAAACCTGTGAAATTCTTCAAGACTCATTTCATCCCAGGATGGTGCTGTCTGATTATGGACTCAAAACACCTTTATTAATTCCTATATATTTTCCTTTTTGTTTTTTTTGCACCCCGTGTATAATGCCCGCTTATTTTATATCAATCACTACAAATGGGCTAAGCTACACATTCATTGTTGTGTTCATTGTTTATCTCATCAGTTAGGAAAAATAACAAGTATCAAACACAAATTCACATTTTAAGGATTTTACTCCCATTCATATAGTGACAACACAATTCAATCTACAGGAAAGCTGTGTTATTTATAGAAATGATGCCCATTAACAAACCATCCTTTATTCTACTCTTTATCAAACTCTGACCCCCATCTTCTAATATACCTGCAGCCGCTATCCACTTACCTGTCCGTAGAAGGCTGGATGTTTGGCTGTTTTCTGAATTCTTTTTTAGTAGAATTCCTGGGTGGGGGTTGAGTACCCGCCAGCCATGAAACCAGGGGACGTTCAATCGTAGAAATAACGTTACCCATTGTCTCTGTAAATCATCTCACTGCAATGAAACTGCTTGTGAAATGCCAGTATCAACAGCAGTAACAGGGTTATCTGTTATCTGCTCAGTGACATCACAATGTGTTATCTGGTTTGTGACATCACAATAGAACCTGTTGATCTATGATGTAGTAAAAATGGCTGACTGCATGATGTCTATGGAAATGAAATCCAACTGAAAATTAAAATAGCATTTAAATGACAGGCAAATAAACAGCTTAAAGGACCACTCTAGGCACCCAGACCATTTCAGCTTAATGAAGTGGTCTGGGTGCCTGGTCCAGCTAGGGTTAACCCATTTTTTAATAAACATAGCAGTTTCAGAGAAACTGCTATGTTTATCAATGGGTTAAGCCTTCCCCCTATTCCCTTTAGTGGCTGTCTCATTGACAGCCACTAGAGGTGCTTGCGTGCTTCTCACTGTGATTTTCACAGTGAGAGCACGCCAGCGTCCATAGGAAAGCATTGTAAATGCTTTCCTATGCGACGGGCTGAATGCGCTCGCAGCTCTTGCCCTGCGTGCACATTCAGCCCAGGAGGAGGATCGGAGGTGGAGAGAAGGAGGAGAGCTCCCCGCCCAGCGCTGGAAAAGGTAAGTTTTTACCCCTTTCCCCCTTCCAGAGCCGGGCGGGAGGGGGACCCTGAGGGTGGGGGCACCCTCAGGGCACTATAGTGCCAGGAAAACGAGTATGTTTTCCTGGCACTATAGTGGTCCTTTAAGAAAAAAAGTTACCTGCCCTCTTCCCAAATCCCTATACGTATTTAAACAAATGGAGGTTATTTCGTTACTCCAATGGCCATTAGATGTAAGCCCACCTGCCACGTCAAGACAGACCTCTTAGGTGGGTCCTACACTGACTATTCACCTTGCTTCCTTGAGCTTCTGGCAAAGATATCTCTAATGAGACAGAGAGGGGTATTTAAATACAAAAAAATGTTTTTTTGTATTTAAATAAACAACTTAATTTCCCAAGTTGTGGTTGTGGCATTAAAGGGATACTATGGCCACCATAACACCTTAATCACAATGAAGTTAAGTTGTGTGATGAGGTCCATGGCACCATCTCACCTTAAGGTGTTAAATAGTGATGTCCCGAACGGTTGGCCACGGACGGCGAACATATGCGGTAAACTTTGACCCTGTACCTCACAGTCAGCAGACACATTCCAGCTAATCAGCATCAGACCCTCCCTGCCAGACCCTCCCACCTCCTGGACAGCTCACTAAGAATGCAGCTTCACAATGAATGTAAAATGGATGCTGTTCGGCGAACCGTTCTGGACATCCCTAGTGTTAAACTATTATTATTTTAACACTTCCTCTAAAGGTTTGAAGCCTTGGACTGGGTGCCACTGACAGGGCCAGCGCTATTAGAAGGCGTCACTGGCAGCCACCTTAGGGTACAACGACCTGGGGGTGCAAATTTCTGCATGACCTGCCGGAGGAAAGCGCACAGTGCTCTTCTCCTGACAGTCACTTTATGTTGCATGGCCGAGTTCCAGGCCTGGTGCATGGGGTCGACAGATCAAGAAATGTCCCTGTCTGGCTCCTAGTGGGTCAGCTCTTCTCTAACGCCAGCTCAGGGCGGAGGGTGATGATCTACGGCCACCTGGGTAGGGGGAGTAGGAAAAGAGCTACTCCCACTGGGAGTGCAGACAAATTAGCATGCCTTCCACCAGACCACCAGGGAACAGGATTCCTTCCTTCCTTGACAAAGTTTGATTGCGTGCCTTTTATGACTGTGTGCCTGTATGGTTGTATGTCTGTATGTTTGTGTCTAATGGCAAGTATGTATTTTTGCCTGTATATCTTTGTCTATATGGAAGAGACACAGAAAGGGGCTGGAGGAAGTAAGGGGCACACAAGGGGGTGTAAGGTACCCTAAAGGGAGGATAAAACACACTAAAGGGGGTTTAGGACACACGAGATAAAAGGGGTTAGACATTCAAACACTAAAAGGGGGTAAGAAATTCAAATGGGGGCTTACAAGACACAGAAGCGAAGATGCATTTTGGGGGCGGGGGATGTAGATAAAATGCAACTTCGCTTGTGTAGCCAAAATTCATTGATTAGCTCTGGCCGCTGCAAGGCTGAGAGCACTAGCATAAACAAAGTAATGTGACTGCTAAATGGCAGAGAATTGAACAGTTAGACTGCAGGGACATGATAACACCAAAACTGAGTATTTATGCTAAATTTGTTTGGGTGCCTATAATGTCCCTTTAACCCGTTAATGACGAATGACTGACCCGGTCCGTCATGCCGGGTGAAGCACTTAACGCCGGGTGACGGACCAGGTGAGTCATGCGCTAAAGTTAACCCCAGTTAAAAGCCTGTCAGAGTGAGCACATGTGCTGCAAGGACTTCGGATTCGCCTCCCTGCTTTTCTGCATTCTGTGTGAAGCGCAGGGAGACAGATCACTGCTGATCTTCTCCATGTGTAAAAAAAATAAATGTGCAGGATTAGCACACACCAGCTTTACGAAATACACATTACAAAAACCTTGTTATATGTGTATATGCCAAAATAGAGAAAAAAACACAATTTTACCCCAATATTTAGCAGATATTGACGATGAAATGGCTCCGTAAAAAGTGTCAAAACAACCTTAGGTAAATAGCCTGTGATGTCTACTTTATATAAATATATACTTTTGTGTGGCAATTTTGTTTTCTGTGATGGCTACTAAACCTACAAGACAAACATAGCAACTTCTAAAATTGTTTTACATTGAAATTTTATGTTAGTCCTTGTATTTTGTGACCTGCAGCTTTCAAAATACGCTGAAATCCTATACATATGATGTACTCTATAAATAAAGACACATAAATGAATTTATTTAGAATTACTTTTTCTAAGATGGACATATTATGCACACGCTATTGTTGCCAAAACAATGAAAAAAAAATTATGTTTTATAAATGTTTGGCTTTTTTTTTTTTTTTTACAATTAATGAGAATGTATCTATGTATATGTGACATCAAATTAAAGCCCCTTTTGCCCTCTAAAAAACAGTATGTAATAGGTGTTGGTGCAATAAATGATAGAGATGCAAATTGCCTTTGAACTCAATATATTAAATTATGTTTCATAGCAAAATATGTGATGTGAAATGAAAGTCCTGTTTCCCCTGAACAAAATGATATATAATAAGCATGGGTTCACTTACTATGAAAGATGTGAATTATGGTTGAACACACATATTTCAGGTCAAATTCCAGGTTTGGTTTACATTTGAGGTGATCAGAACGTGTACAAATGGCTTGGTCCTTAAGGGGTTAATTGTTTTTAATATATGATTTAATAAATAGTAGTATTTTAGATCCTTCCTGTGGACTCTACTATACTGGTTCACTTTCTAAAGAAGGGTTTGTGTCCTCTTTATAGACACAAAGATCTACATACGTAAAGCCAAGTACCACAGGTTCAATAAAACGTGAGCCGTTTGCAATATTTTACATTTTGCCCTATATTTTAATAGCATATTGCACCAAGAGTTTTCTCTCCACTTTTGTCTTCATAAGCTCCACAAGATACATCGGAAGAGGGACAGTGTCACCTAAGTCCACATCATCCCATGTGGCCTTAGGCTCTATCAAATGTGAGTATCTAATTGAAGCAGCATTTTCTCACCAAATATTGCACTATGTGTGGTTTTATTTTTTTAAGCTACACAGCCCTTTTTAATTTAGGGTAAGTGTTACAGCGTATAGCGCTCCACTATTGATTTGGGTGTGTGTATATACCACACAGTTACGTTTTTTTTAATGGGGTGTATAGTAAATGTATTATATCATAATCTTTTTCCTTTTATATCTTGTTTCAAATGAGCTCCCATATTGTATATTCACGCTAATGGATAATCACATTTACTTTTAGCTGGTGTCTGGCGCCCTCTTATGTATTTTTAGAATATTTCTAGGTCTGCACATTTTTTGATTTCGTTTTTTTACACAAGGTTTTTTTTTTTCTGGGATAGGGCCTGCGAGAAGCAGCATTCACCTAGCACCCATCTGTACAATTTCCATTATTAATTTCTTGTTTTCAAATAAATAAGGCTAACTGAAAAGGTTTATTACTAAGCCAGTTCTTATATTTAAAAACAAACATGTAAACTGGCAAAATGTGGTTTTATAACTTACTTTAAGGTATTGTGGACAATTTATCATTATAGCTATATATTTATATATAATTTGGGTGGTTATAATGCAGGTCTTGCTAAATTTGCTTTAAATCTAGGATCCAGCTCAAACGGGTCATAAAAATGTCATTTTATTTTTTGAAACAGTGGGGGCGTGACCGGAAGCGGATGTAAGGGAAGACACTCCAGAGATGCTTACACCACGCGAGCTGACTGTGCCGTAAACTAACTGCTACCAACTAAAAGATTCTCCTAGCGAGATGGGCAAAAAATAAAAAGACCTCCAACTCTAATACACCCAGTAAGGGTAAGAGAGAAATTAAATAAAATCTCAGCTCATACCTGGTACCGTTACCGATTACACCGTGTCTGGTGCTACATCCCCGACTAGAGGATTATTTACAGCCGACGACAACACAGAAAACCGTCTGGACGGAATGGAATATGAAGAGCGGCAAAAAGAAAATGAAGCTGCAGATATTACTACAATAACAGATACGCTACAGGGGAAGAAAGACCCCCACGGACGGGCTGACAGATATGGGATTCCTACAGTTGTCCGCAGAAGACGATGGTAATATGGGGAAGGAGGAATTTTGTTCCCATAAGAAAATTACAAAAAATTATTTGGATTCCGCAATGGAGAACGTTAATAGAAATAGCAGTGGATTAAATAAAATAACTAATAAGGGAAGAATCAAAATCCCTTAAATAGGATTTAAACGATATTAGGAAATAGAATACAGATAGTAAAAACAGACCAACAAACATTACATTTAGCATTGAGTAAACTACAAACTCAATCCATTACACAAAGAAAACATATTGAAAACCGGA